GATATGAGAAGATGTGTATTTGATTGTGAGCAAGGCACACAATGGGGATTATTGCAGCATAGTTCATCTGTGTGGATGTCTGTATATGTGTGTCTGTTTCACCAATATCTCAGGAATATATTACATGGATACTTCGTGATAATGCGCAGACCTGATGAGGTTTCCTGCCCCAACAGAAATAACATTTATTTTTGGCTAAACCGTTCAGTAGTTTATTTGTAATCCATATGTATATTTCTCTCAGATTAATCATTACAAATGCAATCACCACAGATTGCCGGGTTTATCTCCGAATATATAACACCATACCGCACAACAAATCAAATGCAATATTGATTATACTGTCCCTCCAACGTGTAACATAGTTTTGCAAAGAAGGAAAACATTTATATTTATAGAATCAAATAAATCATGCTTATATTATCCTTTATTTATGAAGTTCATTTTTGATCAAAAGTGAAGATACAAATACTATATATTAATGTCATTTAACAATACACTCAAACATCGGTAGCTTCTTAAGATATGAGCGAATGTGAAATATGATTGTTTTAATATTCTTCAATCAAAGGCATGGCCCGTTTAGTACTTTGACCAGCAACATATACGATTGCGGAAATCACCAATAAAATGCCAATGCAGAATACACCCAGGAGCACGACTAACCCAGGACCCGTGTAAGAGTCTTCACTTCTGTCATCTGTGAAAGCTAAAAATAATAAAAATAGCAAGTCAGGAGGTGGTAACCTTGAAAACAACTATATTTTTCCAGAATAGATCCTCGGCCAGATATGTACTATTAGTTTGCTACTGAGAAATCGAAATCTAAACTCACATCTCCTGATCATCTCAGTGTAGTTACCGAAGCTTCCACGGTATAGAATGTGATACGCGCATCGATTTGCTTACCATGTAACACACCCGATTGCCTTTTGGTAAGGCTGATGGGACCTTGACTGACAGACTGGGATACTAAGGATTCCATTTCCCCATCTCGTTTTCTACGCGCATTGGTGATACATCCCATTTCACATCGAGAATAAATGTCAGAGGCATTGCATACCAGCATGTCACAGTGAATATAAATCTGAAGTAGTTTGGATATATAAAAAAGTGTTGTTATTGTCATATGATTAGAATTTAACACTTAATGACGTTCTATTAGAATTTAAAATCAAATTAAAATTATTTAAAATTAATTGTTTTAGAACAAATATGTAAAACATTATTTCTTAAGCAATTATACAACTGTTAACCTAATCTAAACTGACTTATTGTACTAATGTCGACATTCTGAACCAATGATCCCAGATTTTTACATAAAATTAAATTTCAATGTATTCGAAACATGTCTGCTGAGATAAGATAAATCATTTTATATATATATAATTATAAGAACAGTGGCAAATAAGTTCAAGTAGTACACCACGTGACACGTGGGAATCACGATGCAAAATAAGTAAATCGGTAAATCTAATTAGAATAGTGTTATGCAAAATTGTATATGCTTGTTATTTAGCTTTCGTCAATAACTAGAATGTCTTCTCTCACGTTCGTGCTTAGCTTATTATAAAGTTCTTGATAGCTATAAGGTTTTTGTATTCGACTATTGGCTACTTTTATTTATGAGTATATATCCATCTATTATCATAAGTAATCTGTAAGTAAGGTCATGCATATCCATAGCAGAAAGGGGTGTGAACTCACCACTTCACCAGGACTATCCACAAATTCAAACGCTTGAATCGAGAAATGTTTTTCAGCTGGGTTACCAGTTGGTTGTATCTGTACTGTTTCATCCATGATGCACCTGGAAGAAAAATTCACACATTCACCTTGCACATTAACACGCTGAAAATTTATATGTGTAGTAATTAGCAAATTAATTAGGATATTTAGATTTAGGTAATATATTATCGTGAACATCGTAGAGAAAAATGTGTGCTGTAAACAGAAAATGTTTACAGTATATCAATTCAAAATCGTTTGAATTATAAATGAAGGGCAATAAATAACACACAAAATGGGATCAATGAAAGCACAGTATTACCCATTTTCTATGATTGCATATTGTATAGAATGGTCTGCATCTTCACTAGGAGTAGCTTTGCACGTAGCCAAGAACAACTCAAGATCATCCAGGTTTGTCTCAACAGCAGCGCCGACAAAAAGGATCTGCCCCAGGGACACTTCTATTGGGTACTCTTCATCAGAATATGGCTCGTTATAGGAACCATCGGGGTAGAAATCCAATGTGAATGAAAAGTTACCATAACCAGTTTCCGTCAGAAAGACTTGATCATCATTAACCACAAAGCTTGCTTCTGCACGACCTGTTCTCGAGTAAATACACTGAAATGGAATCTCTACTTCTGCTTCACGTCGAATCACGTCTTCGATCTCCCAACGATTGATGACTTTATTACGATAAATCATGTTCTCGGTCGTTTGCTGCATGAAAATCGCAAATTATATTACAGATTTCTTTAATAATCAATGATACAAGTTATTACGAAGCTAGATAGTATGGATTGAGTGACGTGGACTTGAGTAGTTGCCAAATTTGTTTTATCAACAAAGATAATATAGTTATCTTCTAAGAAATAAAAAAAAGATGATTGGGACTATACGTACTGTTTGTGTAGTTCCACAGTCAGAGTGGTCCGTCACAAAACTAACATGGGTGTCATTTCCAGCACCATAGCAGGAAGGGTCGATAAGTTGAAGATCGTCATCAGTTATGGAACCAAGAATAGAGCGACTGATGTCAATTCTCATCCATGTGTCACCACACTCAACTACCACATCTGAAAACAAGGTACACGTCAAGCCGAGCCGAATACGTTTTCATGATATCGATATAAAAATAGGCGGCAGATGATGTTGTTGTTAAAACATCGTTTCGGGTTTATTGACCCATCATTGTAGGGTTCACTTCCTATTCCCCAATAAACAACAACGCATACGAGTACAGAAATGTGAAATAATGATTGTATAATTTGTTCGGACATCACTTTATAAGATTCACGATATCTGTACTTTACCTTCAATGTATTCTGTAGTCGTGTGTACGTCCGTAGTTTTTGGATCATCGGTGGTTACTGGCTCATACGTAGCTAGACGAGGAGATTGAATAAAAAATGGTATCGGGTCAAATAATTCAAACTCGTTCAAGTATACCGATACCAAATAAAACTATTTTTATTTCCTGATGAAGTGGATGAACATAGTATACGATACCTTGCGGCGGTTGACCCGAATATTTCTTAAATATTGTAACGTAGGATCAGGAATAATTAAGTTAAAACAAAATGCGCTGGGAAGGAATATACTTATTTAAAGAATACTTACAATACGATCCAATTTCGTGAAAATGGGCTTGGAATCCCCGAAGAGTGACGGAAGAATCAGAGTAAAACGTCATCCACATAGCGTCATCGTTGGAATAAATAGCGGGTGGATTCGAACTTCCGGAATATTGATCTAATCTCACATTATCACCAACTATGTAACCGTCGCCTATAGATACGTTATCGTAACCTGCCTCTGTTTCAAAGTCATTAAAGTGTACGTAAAGACGTCTATAATACGCATCGGCATACACGATCCATTGACATCGGCAGTTGTTGGGATAATTCCCTGGATAATTTGGTGATTCGATATGAATCGATCCCCACTGTGGTAGATGATAAGTGTCAACACAGTCGTAATCTGTAGATTTCAAACAGGGAAACTCCAGTTGACAACACGCAGATTAATAAAATAAAAAACAAAAAAACATAATAGTGTTTCATAATTCCACGGTGCAATCTATTGGACTAGCAGCCTTTCTTCTTGAAATATGAACGTGAACGAGGAAACGTAGTAAATTGCTGAAAAAGTAGAACTCTATATTTCCAAAAAATACTTTTAAGGCAGGAAATATGCATTGATCACATTTATTGGTTAAACAATCAACATTTGTTTTTCAAGTTCAGTGTTGTACAGAATATGCGACGATGGGGCTATATTATATAAATTTTGTATACTTACGATATCCAGTGGTAGGCCATACATTTGGAGTGGTATAATCGATATCTGTTGTTTGACGATCTTTAGTCGTAAATAAATAAATAAAAAATAAAAAATAAATAAATAAATAAATAAATAAATAAATAAATAAATAAATAAATAAATAAATAAATAAATAAATAAATAAATAAATAAATCGTTATACCTTCAGGCGTTAACCAAATTTACGGGAAAATTACTATCAAACAAACGTTTGCTTCGGGAACAAGAACAGAATATTATACTCTCAGTGAGAAATGTTTTATTCGTCATTGCGTAATGTGCTTTGATTGGATTTTCACGACAAATTTACCAAACTTATCGATTTTAAGCATTTCTCGTGACGAACTTTTATCGAAATTTCCAAGCTATTCGCTTTCAAAATAATTCTAAAAAATATGCACAAGAAGTGACATGATATAAGAGGAGAGGGAATGTTTTATCGACCTAATGGTAGAACATACCTTCTTGATCGTACATGCGTACACGAAACCCACTATTAGTCACTGATCCGTCTGAATAAAACCTCATCCATACCGTTCTACCGCTTGAATAGAAACTTTGAGGCAATGTTGACCCGGAGTGTCTGTCTATTACAACGGACACGCCAGGTGTATCTCCGTTACCAACGGAAACATAGTCACAACACGACTCAGTATCAAAGTTATAGAATTCCACGTAAATATTTCGGTAGGAATACGCTGCATATATCACCCAGTCACATCGTGCATCATTAGGGTAGTCGTTAGGATAGAATGGTGATGTAATCTCTATATAACTCCAACTTGGAATGTTATAACTTCTACCACAGTAAAAGGCTGCAGAATTAAAATTTTGGTATGTTGCATTTCATTTAGATGTGTGATAGTATACAGTCTGTTTGGTTGGTTCAACACTTTAAATCCACGTTGTCCAACGGACGAATAGACACAGGTGAAGCAAGATCGATGGTACAATAGGCGTCTCCTATACCTTCACGTCACAGGAGCGTTGTGTCGCTGGAGACGCTACTAATAGGAACGGTGTTTTTCACCTGATGACATCCGAGTGGAAATCTCTAAATTAATTATTCTCACCTGTTGCCCACGGGTCTTGGGTATTCATTCTTTCCGTTGTTCTGTCTGGCCATACATTTGGAGTGGTAAAATCGACATCTGTTGTTTGACGATCTTTAGTCGTAAATGCTGTAAACAAATAACTAAATAACTAACTAACTAACTAACTAACTAAATAAATAAATAAATCGTTCTACCTTCAGGCGTTAAAAAAAAGAATAAAATTACGGTAAATTACTATTAAACAAATGTTGGCTACATCTGAAAAATATTCACGGGTAACTGTTATCGCAAGCAAATCGAGTGACTGTATACCAGTACGGGCCCGTTAACATGTCTGTTTTTAGTCCTAAATGACACTGATTTTGATTGGACAGCGATGGCACCACTTATGGCTCTGATTGGTTGAAGGTCAGCTTCAACATGGCAGCTTGATTTCGTTTTGGAAACGCTACTAGCCCAAATTCGGTACATAGAGATAGGGAGGTTGAAAATCTAAGCAGGTAGATCGAATATTCGGATATTTTTATTTCCTTTAATGCGCTTCGACATCATTAGTAACAACAAACAAGAACGAAAACAGATCATTATACTTTTACTCTCAATCAGAAATGTTTTATTCTTCATTACGTAATGTGCTTTGATTGGATTTTCTCCACAAATTTACCAAACTAATCGATTTCAAGCATTCCTCGCGATGAACTTTTCTCTAATTTTCCAAACATTTTGCTTTTAAAGTAAGTCTAAAAATATACACAAGAAATGACATGATATAGGAGATGAGGGAATATTTACCTACCCGAAGATAACTACAACATACCTTCTTGATCGTACATGCGTACACGAAACCCACTATTAGTCACTGAACTGTCCGAATAAAACCTCAACCATACCGTTCTACCACTTGAATAGAAACTTTGAGGCAATTTTGACCCCGAGTGTCTGTCTATTACAACGGACACGCCAGGTGTATCGCCGTTACCAACGGAAACAAAGTCACAACACGACTCAGTATCGAAGTTATAGAATTCTACGTAAATATTTCGGTAGGAATACGCTGCATATATCACCCAGTCACATCGTGCATCATTAGGGTAGTCGTTAGGATAGAATGGTGATGTAATCTCTATATAACTCCAACTTGGAATGTTATAACTTCTACCACAGTAAAAGGCTGCAGAATTAAAATATTGGTACGTTGCATTTCATTTAGATGTATGATAGCATACAGTCTGTTTGGTTGGTACAACACTTCAAATCCACGTTGTTCAACGGACGGATAGACACAGGTGAATCAATATCGATGGTACGATAGGCGTCTCCTCCACAGAGTGTTGTGTCGCGGAAGACGCTACTGATAGGGACGGTGTATTTAACCGAAAACACCCGATTGGAAAACTCTAAAAAAGTATACTTACGTGTTGCCCATGGGTCTTGGGTAATCATTGGTTTCGGTGTAGTGTCTGGAACATTGAATAGGGATTATCAATGTATAGCATTTCTTAATTATTCGTTATGTGATTATTTCATTTTAATTGATTATTTTAATGAACTGAGCAATTCAACAGTAAAGAAAAAGTGGAAACAACAAAATTGTACTATCGCAACACCCAGACCGCAGTGTACAAGGTATTGTAGATTACGAATAATGTACAGATAAATTATGGATTTTGGCAACTTGTGACAAATTGATATTTTTTATACTTTGGTGGTAATCACTACTAAGTGTGCATATTGGTTGTATATGCGTACATACACACTCACCTCACTAACCCTTGTTGTCCAAACTAATGTACGTATGAATACGAGGATAAACACATTAAATATACAATAAAAGTTGCTGTAATAATTGTGGAAACATATTCCATTATTTTGTTCTTAAAATGTTTCAGTCTACATTGTTTTAATAAGAATACAGTTCATTGGCCGTAGTTTGTCCAATCTGATAAAATCCGATGTAGTGTACGGGCTTTAATTATTTTAGCTATAAAATTATTTTAATTTTATTTTGTATTACTATTGTTATTAATGCCTTTTTATTTTATTATTTTACTTTGATTTT